CTCTCCACGGGGTTTGCTTCCGGGTGGTAAACCGGGGTCAGAGACTGGTCGAAACCTAAGCAATACGACGCTTGTTGCATCACGGCTCCGACAAATTGAGGTCCGTTGTCTGATATTACATGACGTGGGATTCCATATCTATGATTTCGTCTATCAATAATTTTGCATAGGCATCTGCTGTAGCGCGTTTTAGCGGAAATAGCTCGATCCATTTTGTGGCGACGTCTTCGACGATAAATATCCATTGATATCCCTCGGCTGTGATTGGCAGTGGTCCGAATAAATCTATTGCCAATGTTTCGAATCTTCTTGCTGCTGCTGGAGTTCTTAGCAGACCGGCGGGTTTCATATTGGATGGCTTATACCTTTCGCATTCTATGCATTTCTTGACATGATCGGCTATTGTCTTGCGCATTCCTGGCCAATAGTATTTACCAGAGATTTGTTTGAGCGTTCTATCTACACCATAATGTCCGGCTGTAGGTGAATCATGATTCTCGTACAAAATACGTTTTATAGCGCATTTCGGCGCGACCCATTGAGCTTCTTCGTTGTCTTCAGTAGGTGTATACCGATACAGTACACCGTTTGACATTATATATCCTCGGGAGGTCCAATTTGCGATGTTGAGGTCGTCCTTTATTTCGAATGCGTCTATAATCTTTTTGACCTCTGGATCTGACAACTGTTCTTCTCTCAATTCGGCGGCTCCGTGCGAAGGTAAATCGATGGCGACTGTGCATGTTCCACAATCATGTTGATCATCGCCCTTGCACGGTGGCCTCGACAGCGTGTCAGCAACTACATTCATTTTTCCAGGTGCATACACGATGTGCAGATCGTATTCTTGGAGACTTAGTGCCCAACGGGCTAATCGGCCCGATGGCGATTTTAGATCCATTAACCATTTCAACGGATGGTGATCCGTGCCTATTGTGATCCGGGCGCCGTCGATGTAACCTCTGAATTTAGCAACGGCCCATACTATAGCGAGGGCTTCGCGTTCTGTAGTCGAATAGTTGCGCTCGGCTGCGGTTAACAAACGACTGGCGTATTCCACCGGTCTCTCGTCGGTTCCTTCTCCTTGGGCGAGGATCGCTCCGATTGCGTAATTGCTGGCATCCGTTCGTATGATAAACGGTAATTGGTCATCTGCTTGTCTGAGTATGGGAGCCTGGGTAAGAGCCTTTTTTAGTTCCGTAAAGGCATTCTCTTGTTCCTGATTCCATATCCACGGAGTATCTTTCTTGGTTAGCAGCGTCAATGGTCTAGCGACTTCTGCGAAGTTTGGAACGAATCTTCGAAAACATGAAGCTGTTTGCAGGAATGTGAGTAGATGTTTTATGTTTCTCGGCGGAGCAAGATTTAATATGGCTGTTATCTTGTCGTCGTTTGGCTGAATTCCTTCGGCGGTAATTATGTGGCCTAAGAATTTTACTTATGAGCACGCAAAATTGCACTTTTGACGGTTGGCGCGTAATTTAAAGTCGCGCAGGCGATCGAATACTTTCTTCAAATCTTTTATGTGTTCCTCAAAGCTATTCGAAATGACGATTATGTCGTCTAGATATATTAATACCGTGGTATCTTTCAGACCTCTTCGGAATTGATCCATCAGTCGTTGAAAGGTGGCACCGGAGTTCTTCAGGCCGAAAGGCATTCGTTTGAAGCGAAATGTGCCAAACGGTGTCGTAAATGCTGTTTTATCTCGATCTGTGGGCCTTACGTTTACCTGCCAATATCCTGAGCGAAGGTCGATGGTCGACATAAAAAGCGTTCTCTTCGCGAGATGCAACAGTTCATCGATTCTGGGCATCGGGTAAGGATCCGTCTTGGTCACAGCATTTAGACGTCTGTAATCAACGCAGACTCGTACCGCGCCGTCTTTCTTGGGCACGAGCACTACTGGAGCGGCCCATGGAGATTCGCATTCTTCAATAACATCAGCTTCCAGCATAGCGTTCAATTCCTTCTCTAGAATTTCTTTCTTTTGTTGCGACATTTTATAGGGATGAGTAGCTGTCGGCGTGCTATCGCCGGTATCAATGGTGTGTTCAGCGTACGGTGTATGCTCTCCCCCTGGTGCGAAGATGTTTTCGTTATTTACCAGTATTGCGTCGAGTTCCTTGCGTTGTTCTAGAGATAGGATTGGTGCTTCGTCGTCTCTTAATGCGTTGACGCAATTTAGCTGCACAATGCCGGTTGCTTCGGTAATTCCTTCAAACTTGAGTTCGTGTGGCTCATAATTGTCTGCAAAATACCATATACGTTGAGGTATATTTATTACAATATTGGCTTCTTCGATAAAATCCATGCCGAGTAATGTATAATGGTTATGAGCATACGGCATTGCTAGAAGTGTGGTGTTAATCGTACGATTCTCTACATGAATGTCGACTTTAGTGACCCACACGCTTTCTTCACTACGCGTACCATCGGCTAATCCAATGCGTAGGTTTGACTTTTCAAATTTTTGTCCTTTTTCAATGAGTATTTTATAAAGAGAGTGTCCGGCGATGCTCATTTTCGCGGCCGTATCAATTAATCCTGTTCCCTTTGCGCCTAATATTTCTACGTTGAGAACTGGGCGTTTCTTATACGTTGCTTGTATTTCCGACGCATCCACGAGGCAAAAATCGGACTTTTCTTCACTCTTATAATTTTTATCGGCTTTGCTGCACTTTGGACAATTTTTACGAAGATACCCGGTGTTTCCGCAACCGAAACAAGTTACGGTGGGTAGAGCGCGTTGGTCGTTTGCTTGTGCGACGTCGGAATTAGCGTCTTTACTTTTTTTATTCGACGCGTTCGGGTTTTCCTCGTTTTTCTTTTTGAGACTTCTACATTCGTCCGTAGTGTGTCCGAAATTCTTGCAAAACTTACAACGTGGGCGATTTTCATGTTTGCGTGATGACGCTTGCTGTTTGGGTATTACGTCTTTTTCCGCTTTAATTTCTTCGACTTCGCGCGCGAGATCCACTAATTCTGCGAAGGACGTGACTTTTTCACGCGGTATCTCTTTTCGGATTTTATATGCTAGCAGCCCGTAAATCATGTCAAGCTGAATGTTTACCGACAAAGGCGCGTCGTATGGAAGCTTCGAGAGTAGCGCGCGCGCTTTGCACACAAATACGTCCGTCGATACGTCTTCTCCTTGCTCGCACGAAAAAAGTTCTTTGTATACGCGATATGCCGCTTTTTTAGGGCCGTAGGCTTGTCTCAATATTTCTATCGCAACATTCCACGTATTGATAGTGCCTTTAACGCCCTGCCACCACGTCGCGGCGAGATCCGTGAGGAGGATCGGTAATCCTTTCAACGCGTTTTCATCGGATGTATTCGTACACTCTTTGTACGTACTAATCGCGTCAATAAAAACCTCTACATCGGACGATTTGTTTCCGTCGAAGCGTGAGGTGCATCGTGAGAAATTACCTTGTGGCTGCACGATATTCGCGACCGGTGCGTTCGCAGCAGATATCTGTATCTGTTGTATGAGCGTAGCGAACTGTTCGTTCGTTAATGTAACGGTGTTACCTGTGTTTCGTTCTTCCGCCATTTTTACCTCCCTGTCCTGAATCTTTGCGTTCGTACTCGTCCTACGAGGTATGCGTGACTGCAACCGTGTTTGCGACCGTGTCGTCGGTCGTGTCGGCTCGTTCGGGAGTGACTATTTTAATTTATAATTTTAAAATTGTTTCCTAATATATAATAATATGGATTTAGAATTACGATGTGGATAATTTTCTTTGTTCGGATTGAGAAACAATATTGTAGCGTCGCCTTCACTACAATTATTATGATTTAAAGGTTCCGTGAAATAGACGAGGAAGTCGCCGAGAGGATTAAGCAGAAGGGATTTTACTCTGAATAAAAGTTGCACAAATAACGGACGAGAAACTATGTAATTGCTGCTATTCTCGTACTATACGTCTTACAATGGCAATGTTCACAATATGTCTGATTTCTATTAACGCGCCGCCTGCCTTTCTTCTTCGTAACTTCTTGTCCAATCAGCGGCTCCTCGCGTCCAGGGCTCTCGCGCGTGTTACTGGGCCCTTCACGTTACAGACTCCCCCTTTGGATTTGTTAGTTGCCCTCAACGAAGATCCAATTTCTCGTGAAGGCGTTGATTGACTCGATGGACTATAGTTTGAAAGATTAACCGTACTTCGTTTATTTTGTCATGTATCATTTATCTCAAGTATCTCAACAAAATTACCTTTTTAAAAAAAAAGGAAGAAAGGCGCCAAGTGTGTTAGCCTCACAAAATAAAATGAAATCTTTTTAAATTGCGCCAATTATGAAAGGAATATATTTTCTTGGCACATATATAACATACTTTATTTCAAAAAGTAAAAGTACAAAAAACTTGGCGCTGCTAGACCTCAAAATATACAATAATAAGATGGTTATTAAATAATTCCGAATATGAAAAATAATAAGAAATTAATAGAAAAAGAAATAAGGACTCGTTATATAAAAATAAACAATATGAAGAGTCAAGGGCGATATAAAAAAAAATAATAAGGTCTCTCTCTCTCTCTCTAGCAGCGCAAAGTTTTTTGTACTTTTACTTTTTGAAATAAAGTATGTTATATATGAGTCAAGAAAATATATTCCTTTCATAATTGACGCAATTTAAAAAGATTTCATTTTATTTTGTGAGGCTAACACACTTGGCGCCTTTTTTCCTTTTTTTTTAAAAAGGTAATTTTGTTGAGATATCACGCATTTTTTGTAATGTTAAATATTTCTTATAAATCTGTATATAAAATATTAAAAAAAAACATTATAATAAAATATAATAATAGAGCTCTAATATAATAATAGAGCTCACTGTACGTGCCTTTAGCCTTAAAATAAAAAAGAAACAATATTTAAATGTTAAATCTTATAAGACCGTGAGAAACAAAACCAATAAAATGCCTTTAACGATCGAACTGTATCTTAGGTACTAATTATAATTCCGTGAGAATTTATATAAAACTAGCATCAAAACTCTCCTCTCCTTCTATGTTGATTAGCGAAATTAGAAATTGCACACCTGTAGCTTTAGCAATTCTTTTCAGATCAGCTTTTTTGCAACGAGAAGTCTAGACATGCGATTTTCGCGTTCGTTATCCTCTTCGGCATTGCTTGAGAGGCGACAGTACAGTTCAAAGCATAGCCTCGAACACTTTTTCCGTGAACTTTCAAGACATTGACTGCTTTATAACAGGATACAAAAATCCTCCTTTGCTATTGTTGATTTTTATCTATCTAATGTCATTACGTTGACAGCTAATCGATATAAAATAAAATATGCTAGCAAGCGCCGTCTGCCGTTTGAAACGTGAAACGGACAACATTTTTTCGACAAAACGCCGTCTGTGTTTAAAACGTGAAACGGACAACATTTCCGATGTTAAAATTTTTGACATTTCAACTTCACATCGAGATATCTTCCTTCGTAGGGTACGTAGACAATAAAAACATATTTATAATATAATTTAAACACTAAAACTAAATTACGGATATATAAAAGTTGATAAATTCAGCCATTTATTGTGAGATCCGATAATCTCGGGTACACGGAACTCATCGACTCGCGTAAAGATATACGTGCGGTCTCGCGCTTCGCGTTCACTTGGCGCGAGACACTACCGTGTCTCTTGATAAAGGAGACTGAAGAGAACTTATGTATAAGTTGAAACGTTTCTCATTTTAATTATAGAATATTTTAATAAAAATTGTCATCATTTAATTTGTTGGCTTGTTTTAATACCGTAATTTTAATATCATTATTTTAGTTGTTTTTAAAACATAACAAGCGTTGTTTTTGTAATTACATTTTTATTTGTTTATATGTTTTTCTAATGTTTTAGTTCATGTAAATTTGGTAATTTTTGCATATAAATGACTGCTAGCTGAAAATGATGAAATTATTTTATTTTATTTTTTAATTTTATTTTCACATGCTCAAATAAAATTTACGAAAATTTTTCGCTTATCGTGAAAACTTAAGTTTTCCTTACAAATTTTTTTAAAATATCCCTACGATTTTTTGTTCCTGAGTTATTCGCGAGTTAAGTAATGGAACACTTTGATTTTCATTTTTCATCATTTAACTTCATTAAAAATCATCGTACCATAATTCAAAAATCAGATTCTTAAAGTTAAAATTTTGCTCTATCAAATGGTATAATCGCTAATTTTTTAAATGTACAATATACTATTTCGAATTAGAAAATTTGAAACAAACTTTTCGAACAACCTAATATTTATTCTAATCGTATACACTTTTCTAATTGGAGGAAACAAACAAGAAACGTAAAGCATAATAAGTCCAAATTTTATAGGCTGGAGGATCGCAGGTCATATTTACCAATCCTTTGGAGATAGTAAAAATTCGACTACAAGTAGCTGGCGAGATTGCAGGAGGATCGAAAGTTAGGGCGTGGACCGTCGTCAAGGAATTAGGTCTTTTTGGATTGTACAAAGTGAATAGTGATAATAATAATTTTATATATATAACGCTAACACTCATTCCATCACTCACAAGCTGAGGTGATAACAATCGCAATTTTCTTATAGGGTGCTAGAGCTTGCTTTTTGCGAGATGTGCCATTTAGTGCAATTTACTTTCCTATGTATGCTCACACGAAAGCGCGATTGGCCGACGAAGGAGGCTACAATACGCCATTGTCGCTTCTTGTTTCTGGTGCGATTGCCGGTGTACCTGCAGCAGCATTGGTCACTCCTGCGGATGTAATAAAAACAAGATTACAGGTGCATTTCTCACTTTAATTACTAATAAGTCTAAAAATTATGATTATAAGAAAGGTTTAGCGTTTCGTGCCGGATCGTAGTGGTCGCTCGTGAGGAGGAAAAGATAAAACTAAAATGATGCTATTAAATTTACATCTTTTATTTTAGACCTTCGACAAATGTACATTCGGGGTCTAAGAACAAGGAAAAACCCTTCGACCATAACTTGCAATATCTTATCCGGAGGATATCTAAAAACCAAAGGCTTGTTCTTTTTGCCTGCACTGTCTGAACTGGTGCAGTAAGTTGAAATGAAACAAACATATATCTGTTTCACTTCAACTTATTGCACTCTGTGCACCAGTTCAATAAAAAGAACAGGTTTCGAGTATCTAATTTCATACCCTGGACTCTCGAAACTGGTAGCTTAGAACTTTCTTTAATCTTCTCGTCACGCAAAATATTGTCACTGTTACTTTGAGTGTTATTATTTTTAAGATTTTAAATTATGTCGTTTAGAAATCGTTTGAATATTTTTGTAAGTTTCATAGTGATTATCGCTCTTATCTCGATCGCTTATAATGCAACTTCATATCATTGATTATAGGTACGTTGTACCATTGTTCTATTTTGTTTTAAATGCATGAGTGATGTGAAGAAAGGATAAAAGGAATTATCAGATTTAAATGCCTCATCTCGTGACGAGCAAAGCCTGCACGTGTGTTTGAAATCCGTATATATATTCTTGAGGGTTTGTCGCGTATTTAGCCGACAGATTCGTGGCGACATAATTGCCAAGGAAATTAGGTTTTCTTTCCTTTCTTGTTGTATGTTCACATATATTGTTCTAGAAATTCTATTCAATATAAATTATGATTATTGTGTAGTTTTATTGTACATGTATGCTTTAGGTTGTAGCTAGAGAAGGTCAAACTACATACAACGGATTGCTGGATTGCGCAAGAAAAATATACAAAGAAGAAGGTGCTAGGGCATTCTGGAAAGGCGCGACAGGTATATTATTTTACTATGTCATTTTTACATGTTTACATATCTGATACAAATAAGGCTCTTGAGATAATTAATATTTCCTGTGCACATATTGGTAAATTTTTCAAAAATTTGCAACTCTCTAATATATCAATTTAATAGATAAGAAATAAAGGACTCTTTGTATAAAAATAAGTAACAAGAAGACAAAAGGCGATGTAAGAGTCAAAACTTTCAGATATAAAACATATAATTAATAAAATCTTTCAATAATTCCATAACGTAACAACTAAAGATATTACTTAAAAACTATTTAAAATGTACTTAAAAAAATACATATATCTCGTAACAGGTTTCGGCTCCTGGATTGAGCCTCAGACATATTACACAGCAGTTAATATATCGTTAGACAATAAGATCACGCATGCAAATTAAGATATTGACTCTGTGATCTCCATGTAGAAAATTGACATTGATTGCACACGATTGAAAAGTCGTATGTATAGTAATATCTCTTAATATGTATAGCGTATAGCAATATCTCTTAATATGAATATTCTTTTTGGTAAATGTTTACTTTAGGGGACCCAGCTCCGATGACCTTGACCTTGATATATGTTGTCAAGGTCATGATTCTGAGCAACTTTGCCTTAACAACTAGGTGGCGGACTCTTATAGTTTTTGAGATATTAATCGTTGAAGTTATTTTTAACAGTAGTGAAACCTACTGTATTGATGCGAAGTAACTCTTATTCCACCTCTTCTTCTGCAAATGAGCTCGCAACATCCATGTCGCCTCATGTTCTAAAGTGTACGCGTGAGGTTCCGCCCCCCTATGGGGGGGGGGCTCCACTACTGTTAAAAATAACCTAACCCAACCCATTAAGTGGTGTATGGTAGCTGTCGCTTCGCGTAGAAAGTCAAAATTCATGCGCAATAGTACAACCATAGAAGTATGTTCGCATAGAAAGTCACTTGCTCGTACTGTTGTGCATTGATTTCGATCTTCTACACGAAGCGAAAGCTACCTCACACCGCTAAATGGGTAGGGTTAGGTTATTTTTAATAGTAGTGGAGCCCCCCCCATGCGGGGGGCCCCAATCATTCCTTCAAAAATGGATTTATTGCTCCAAGCTTTTAATTCGTTTTATCCACGTATTCAATTCACATTAAAAATTGATGAAGATAAATTAGAATTTTTAGACACCACAATTTTGAAACGTAATGATACATTTGTTTTTGATTGGTACCGTAGTCTACCCTACTTACCTTTTCTAATAGATTTTTGAATTTTCACTCAAATCATCTAATTTCACAAAAGAAAGGCACAATTTTTTCGTTGGTGGACAGAGCTTTTACACTATCTGGTTTTTTTGAGTCTCACACAAAAAATTTCACACTTATTAATATGTTAATATTAGATAACGATTACCCATTACCTTTCATCCTTGATACAGTTAACCAACGTATAAAATATCTACTATAAAATAAATATATAGTACATGAAGATTTGAAAGGTAATGACTTCTTCTTCTTCTTAATTAATGGCTCCTGCCTCCATAAAGTGAGCGGAGACAATACGGCCAGATCACGTCTGATTATAGATTTCGTCAAATGTAGTTGCAAAAACCTGTGATGCAATGCCCGCAAAATGGCGTTGCTCGAACGGTCACCGGGCGCCTGCGTCTACGGCGTCGTTACACCGAAACAACGCGCGTCAGGAGTCCTAGCCAGCGAAATACCGAACAATCGAGACGAGCTCATCCGCGGACACCCATCATTGTGATTCAATTGCTCAGTCGAAGTCGGCAACACTTTCAAAAATATAAAATAGAAAGCACCCGAACCGAAACGCGTCCGTCACGGTCGAGCGGTTCTTCGGAACTGTGAAAGGTAATGACAATGACAATAAATCTACATCTTGACTTGCGGTATCTTTCATTCCCTTCCATACAAAGAAATTTAAATGGTTTAACAACAACGACATCAGGGTATCTTTTCACAGTCCTAGTAAAATGGGAAAATATATCAAAGTTCATAAAACTCTCGTTCTCATACATCTAAAAATAACGTAATATATAAAATCCTGTGTAATGACTGTGATGCGTCTTATGTTGGACAGGCGGGCAGACAATTGAAAACTAGAATCACTGAAAATCGGAATCACATTAAATATATTACGTCTGTTCGTTCTGTTATAACTGAGCATAGACTTGATTATGACCATAATTTTTAATGGGACAAAAATTTTGGATGAAGAGTCTTGTTTCAGAAGCGTTTAATATCGGAAATACTTAATATTAAAAAACAGAAAAATAGTCTTAATTTACAAACTGACACTGAAGGTGTCACTGACTCCATAAGGCTTATACCTATATCCATTGTAAATAAAGTTTGACTTTTCGATACTGATGGTTTGTTGCCTCACTCAGTCTGCGTCGACCGTTCTCAGTGTCTACACATAGTTTATAAAATGATTACACAATGTTCTTAGTTTATGACTGTATGATGTTAAATGTACATACATTTTATTTTAAATTTTATCTTTGTGACATTTCAATTAATTGTTTGATGAATATTACTTCAGTTATGTGGACGCACTGAATTATTATTAAATTTACTTTATTTATTTCACTTGATGGTCCAATGATGAGTTTGTTTTTAGAATTTCGACATCTTTTTTTATCATTTATAAAGAAAGATTTTTACCATCCTTTCAGAGGTATTGCTATATATACGACTTTTCAATCGTGTGCAATCAAAGCCAGTTTTCGACATAGAGACTCACAGGGCTAGTATCTCAATTTGCATCCGTGATTTTATTGTCTAACGATATGTTGACTGCTGTGCAATATGTCTGAGGAGGACACAATCCAGGAGCCGAAGCCTGTTACAAGATATATACAATTTTTTAAGTACATTTTAAGTAATTTTTAAATAATATCTTTAGTCGTTATCAGGAGACGCGATAGTGTCTCCGACCATGTTCAAAAACTACTAGTCAATACATAAAAGATTAATAATAATAGACACTATGTAGGATAATAGGGTCTAAGACTTGCGGTAAAATACGAGACGATATTTTTGAAGAAAATGTCCATTTACTCTCGTCGTACAATACAATGTGTCCCGCCTTCTTTTTATCTCTGGTACTTCGCTCGTGGCGCTCTCGCGGAATTGTAAGCAACGACGGTGTATAATCTTTTACCGACAGTGAGAACGAGCTTATGCTGCAGCTTCGACCATCCTGACTTTCGATCTTCTCAGTACAAAAACACGTTGAATATGGGGCATTCCATGCCAAGTGGGCCACCCAATTTTTGGGCTTTCTCGTCGCAGCGCTCTTTTCGCTTGTCGTTAGTGGGCATGAAAGGCAATTTTGAAAATAAAGTGCAGACGTATTCTTATAGAAAATTGAACGCTCTTTCACGTAAGAATATTCTTTTTTTGATCAGACCGGTTTACGATGATGTTTTTCAGTTTTGAACTTTTCAAAATGGCGGCGCGCCTAAAAGGCCGCTCTCAATTTTCAATTAATTTAGCTCAAAATGTAGCTCCAGGTCTCTACTTTGTAAAGTGAGGAAAATGAGTGGTGCGGCAGGGGGACGGAGCGACATTGCCTCACTTTCCTAGCTCTTACTCCTAAACGAATGCGTGTGCCATTAAGTCATTTTAGAGTAACAAAGTAGAGACCTGGATCTACATTTTGAGCTATATTAAAAGAAAATTGAGAGCGGCCTTTTAGGCGCGCCGCCATTTTGAGAAGTTCAAAACTGAAAAACATTATCGTAAACCGGTCTGATCAAAAAAAGAATATTCTTACGTGAAAGAGCGTTCAATTTTCTATAAGAATACGTCTGCACTTTATTTTCAAAATTGCCTTTCATGCTCACTAACAAATAATTGAAGAATTAAAGGACTCTTTTATATGACAATAATTAATACGTTAAAAATGGCGAATAAGAGTCAAATTACAATTTAAAATCTGAATCTGATAATTTATTCTAATATTCTATATTGCGAAGAATATCACGTAATTTTTGGCGTTTTGTCCCGGCTTCCACTACTGGACTCATCAGTAAGGTATTGTAATGGAAGCCTACCTTACGCCGATGTAAGTTATTAAATCGAGATGCTATATAAAGAGATATACGCGTGTCTCAGCACTTGCGAGAATTTGCGAATATCGATAGACCTCTGATGGCGGGTCGACGTAGTAATATTCTTCGCAATATTTATCCAAAGTAAGAAATAACGTTCTATTAATATATGTAGTTCCCCCAAATTGCGCACCGAACAATTGTCGGTCTTGCAACGCAAATCTAATAATCTGATTTTTAAATGTCCCCTCTTCTTAATTATTGCGCGCCGAAAGATTTTCGGTCTTGCAACGCAACTCTAATAATCTGAAATATCCCCCCTCCTAAATATTTGCGCGCCGAAGGATTTTCGGTCTTGAAACGCAATTATAAATGCTAAATCTAATTTTTACTTAATGAATAGACTAACAATGTACTATTCGCGTTGTTACAGCCCGCGGTTTAAAAACAAATAATTGAAGAATTAAAGGACTCTTTTATATGACAATAATTAATACGTTAAAAATTGCGAATAAGAGTCAAATTACAATTTAAAATCTGAATCTGATAATTTATAGATTATTAGAATAAATGGTTTTTGATTCTCAGACTCCTTGGTATTTTCTCTGAGTGTTTTGGAACCCTTCTGGATCGGCTATTATATAGCGATCATTAAGCAATACTTTTCTTACAACGTAAGGTAAATGTCCCAGTTTGTGACCATGACTCTGTTTGTGACCACTCTAAGACTTTTATGTAATTAATCAGAAATTTCAAGTAATTTATCTCTGAAAACAATATTTATTACGTTTTTCAATTAATAATCCATCGTTTTGATATGTGATGTAGTGATATTTGGTTAACAGATAACTCATGAAAATGTGAAATAAGGTGCCTGTATCGTCATTAAGTGCAGATCGAGCACGTTGTTGTCGCCACGTTGGT